AACCGAGAAGGCCTCTCTTTGAGGCCAAATTGTGCATTCATCTCCTTGCTTTTGAGGAGGGGAAGAAAAACCTCACCACGATTTGCAATTCAGCTTTTGTGTAATGAGCTCTTGTGTGGATTCCGCAATGGCTGGTTTGCTTGGAACAGATTGTTGGTGAAACTAGTTTGTCAAACATTTTTCAGTGCGAGCCTTACTTTTTTTTTCCTCCTTGTTTTCAAAAGCAACAGCTGCTAAGCCTGATAATTATTGTATTCCATCAAAACAAACACACCAACTTTCTCCTCTTAATGCTTCTCTGTGCAGTTCCCCCAAAGACTCTTACTCTTCCGTGCCTTTAAAACAAACAAACAACCCCCCCCAAAAAAACATGTGCATGCTTTACATTCCCTTGGGTTAAACCCCCCCCCACCCTCGTTAATTACCGGTTGGGGGATTCCAGAGAGGCTTAGGAAAAGACATGGGGAACCTGCAGAAAAGGGAAAAGAGGTGGCACAGAAATTAATCGGAAAATTCCTGCAGAGATTTGTATAACCTACTCAGTTATGTGTCCCCCCCCCCACAGTGTATCACTCCTGTCGGATAGAAGGACCCCACTGAGCGATGAGGTGCTTCTCAATGTTCCAAGGCTTATGCGTTTTCAGCACAACGACGCTTCCACGGTGACAAATTTCCAGTAAAACATACTGCGAATATACATACTTTTGCCACAGCAAGGCAGTAGCTGAAGATCTGGGCTTAAATACTTCTCTGCGTTAGCCACTTTGTCTTGCATAGCTGCCGTGTGAAGTGACGCTCGGGTAAAACAGCCCATTGGGACTTTGCATTCTAAAGGTGGACACGGCTGGCTTTAACTTTCCCTCCACACTTTGGAATGTGTTTTGGGGGAATCTGGACTTTGTAGGAGGTAAGCTTCCATCCTCCAACACCCCCCCCGGGAAAGGAGGGTCTTGATGGGAGGGCCTGAGACCCCAAGCCCCACATCACCTGTTTTTACAAAGGTCACCTTTCAGCACTGGATGGAGGCTTTGGCGCTCGAAGGCCAACAGGTGGGGAAACCGTGGATCGGTCTTGTGCCCAGATCACCTGAGGGTGGAAGCAATAGGGTGAGGTATAGAAAGAGCACGCTTTTGGCACGCTTCCATAATGCAGTTAAAAGCCAACCGATTCCACCGATGAGCCACTGGGAAACGTTACCTAGCAACAGAGAGCCGTTTGAGGTCCGTTCTCCCTTTCTTTCTTCCCGTGGATCAGAAAGGTCACCGGACATCTCGACCCACAAAGGGGTCCACCTCCCAAGCGTACCGCAGAGACGAATATACAATTTCTCACAATAGGCTGCAAACAAAGCTTGTGGGGCAGTACGAAAAGGCAAAAAGGCGGCAGGAGAGCTGATCCCATATTCATGGCATGTCATCATTACGGGGGCTGTGTGCATTGCTGCCTGGTTCAATGCGCATCTGCTTTTGACTGGGTTCTGCCGTGGCTTGGCTGCTGTGATGTCCCATCAGGGGCACTCGAATGCGTTATCTATCTGCTTAGGATTCCAAGGATGTCGTCCTTGTGCCATGCTCTCGTTGGCAGGGGTCTTGCCTTTAATGCCCAGGGGTGACGCCATCGCTTCAAATGGTGGACCAGCTATGGGCACCACCGGCTGTGTCTCCCCCGAGTGGCACCGCTGGATCAAGCAGAAGGTCCCTAAGTGCCAAGGTGGTTATTTAGATGCTAGAGAAGCTTGGGGAGAGAAGGTCAATGGGGGAAACGGCAAGCAGGGTCATCTGTGTGTCTGCTGTTGCCAAGTCTGTTCTCCAGGGACTGCTGATGTTTGGAGGAGGACTGGCGAATAGGTGACGTCATGCCCCTGATCTTCTTTCTTGTGGCTCTGCAAATCACACGTGGGCTGGGTGCATTTGTCCAAATGGAGAAACCGGTCCAAAGGGCAAGGATCCCCTCAGGCAGCCCTCCAGCGGAGGACTCGCCTGCCTTGAAGAGGACCTGTGGCCACCAGAGGTACAGGCCACCAGTGGACTTCCCACCTTTGACTCTTCCCTGTACAAACATTGTAGTCCATCGTTTGGAGAGCCTCCATGCTTAACAGTTCTTTTAAAGGTTTTTTTTTCTTTTTCTTTTTTGCAGTTAACCCTAAAATGGAAGTGAGAAGACGATTCAGCAGCGCCTGCTTAGCCCGTGGGCCTCCTTCCCTGGGCAACGGTCCTTCTGCGGGCATTCAATCCCTTCCTTTGAGTAGTGTGGCTTTCTCCCACTCTTGAGCTCCCGGCGCCATGTGAGCCACCTCTGGGGGATGTTTGGGAGAGAAAGGCCTCTGGAGAAGAGTTCCCCTGCAAGCTGGCATCCGCCCGGCTCGCTTGAGCTGCAGCCCCCTCTCCTCCGCCAAGCAGATGCTCTCCTCTTGGCACCCCACAAAACCCAGCACATCCAACTGCCAGGAATCTTGCCCACACCAATAAGAGTCTCTCGTGCTGCGGGGGACTCAGTGGGAAGCTGCAGCAGAAGCAGCAGCGAGAGCAACAGCATCGACTGAAACATGGAATCCAGAGGAGAAAGCTCACCATCAGTTGGAGCCTTGCATTTAAGCTCCGCTTCCCAAAAAACGGTTAAGCCAAGCCACCTCCTCTGCCCATCTGTCTTTCCAAAGCAAAACTTCTCAGGCAGCTGTGGGAGGCTCGGGGCTCTTGTGCTCACTGCGATGCAGATGTTTCTGAAATGTGGGACACACACACACACTGCAGTGACAGCCACAGTTGTCCTTACGGCTTCTCCAGGAAGGCAGCCAGGTTTCCTCTATTTTATGCTTCGCTGTCAAGAACATGAACCTGCCCTTTGGCAAAAAGGCTGCATGTAATATTGATAAGTTTTACATTTTAAATTTTTCTCAAGGACTAAAGGTGCCCGCCGCCAGCAGAAACCCACTGATGTTCTTTCTCCTGCACATCTGTAGCTTTGCCATCCTCATTCGGGGACTGCTTTTAAAAGAAAAGAATCGCCTTTATTGCTAATTCTATTCCTATGTGTTGCCTCCCCCCCACCCCCCAGCGTGACCCCCAACCAGAGAGCCAGCTCAACAGCACCCATTTTTCAAAGAGCTTTCAGGGTGAGAACCCGAGACTGAGGTGTGGGCCTCTGTGGCATCACCCAGGTGGGGCAAGCAGGGTTGGGAGAAGGGCAGAAGGGCTTGCCGGCCAGCCAGTGGTAGAAAAAGGCCGAAAGGGAATCCAGATTAATGGGCTCAGCCCCTGGGTAAAATCCTGCTAAAAAGGCCCAGGGGCAAATCCAAATCCAAATCCAAGTGTGTGTGTGTGTGTGTTGAGGTTTTGCTGGGTGACTTGTGGTAGCCGCACACTCTCAACATAGCTGTTGCTGCTAGGAGAAAGGGGGGGGGATGAGAAGGAGACCCATGTGCACTGCCTTGAGCTCACTGGATAAAGAGAAAGATGCACAGTAGTAACCACCCCCCACCCCCCGAAGAGTTTGAATGGCACAGCAATGCACATTTAAAACGAGCCGACTGTACTGGATGTACTGTAAATGATACGGAACTCTTGGGAGGCGTTTGTCAAGCGACGTCTCCGGCTCTCCAACCGGGTTCCCTGATCCCGTTGAGGGTGGTCACAGCGATGGTCCACCCCGTCCTGACCTACCGTCCTCATACCAGAAAGAGGCCAGATTCAACAGAGCAGCTGCTGATTAAATTACAAAGCCGGGAGCTGAGGAAAGAGGGGACTTCCTGCCCAGTTCAGGTGAATCTGCAAGGAAGGAGACCATTTAGAGTCGGCAACGAGACACAACGGTGTGGGGGACGTGGCTCGGAGGCCTGGTGGCGGGTGGCGGCAGTGGAGGAAGGAGCTCTGTGGGGGCTGGAGGAGGGCCTCAGGACCTTCTTGTGGCCCAAGAGAGTTCTACGGGATCCCCCGGAAGGCTCCAGCCCAGGTTCTTCCCAAAGGGACTGATCCTTCAAAAGGCAGGGCCAACAGTCCTGGAATCTTACCGGGTTTTCTCCATAATGGGAAAAAAAAAAGCAGTTCCTGTTTGGAACTTCTCACCATCACCAGCCAAACAGAGAAGCAAAGGGGGGGGGGGAGAGAAAGGGGCCGAGATGTCTTGCAGATGACAAAGGGAAACACCCTGAAAGGACCTGCATCCCCTTGGAGAACCAGGCGGGGGTCCCCCTGCACGCTCCCCCTTCGAAGGCCACCTGCCGGGCTCCAAAACACAGACCAACCTCTTAGAAGATTGATGAGCGGCAGAGGATCCTCCTTGATTCTTCAGAGGCTGCCCCTGCTTTTCTCCCTGCCCTGGGGTGGGGGTGGGGGTGGGGGAGATGCCTCCCATCACCCCTCTCTGCATCAGCCAGCCATACAGTTCCAAGCTGGCCTACCTCTCAGGATAGGGGATAGGCGAATGAACGCCACTGGAAGGAAGGTGGGACATCCATTGAAGCAATACCTAGACAGACCTATCCGTTCTCCCCCCCCAATCCCCGCCAGCGCAGAGCACAATCAAAGGGCCAGCCAGCCGCGGCGGCTCATCCGAGTGCGTTTTATTGGTACATGGTTTCTTCTTCAAGCTTCAGATTTCACCCCGTTTTACAGGTTGTATCGGCCGCTGCCCCTAAAAAGCCGGGCACAGATGGAACCAACCCTCTCCGCCACGGCCAGAGATCTCTTGGTCGGACCACGAGGAGTCTTCCTGGGGACGTCCTCCAGCTGGCCACGTTGTATACCTCAGGTTCCTGCTGGTACCTTGGCATGGATGGAGGAGGAGGGGAGGGCCCTCTGCCCCCTTCGTCCTGGAGGCAAGCGTTAGGCATGAAAACCCAGAACCCTTGTGAAAGTCACAGAAAAGCCCCGGTGGCAGTTCTCTTCCAATCGTTTGGAAGGAAGTTGGGTTCCAAGCAGTTTAATGCATGCACACAATAACAGAGATTCCCCCCAGCCCCGCTCGC